GTGTCAAAGTCGAAGTCACGGTATCTCATTTGTCGAAATTTTTCTTAATAACTTCGTGAACGTTTCAGCTGTGGGGGACGTTGACAAGGTAACCTGACTGTAATTTCATCAGATTGTGTCAGAGGAAGTACAAATTGGATTTAAGATCTAGAGTTTAAGTCGAGTCAAGTGACTCGCTTTTGGCTCGAAGTCCCCCAAGTGCCCAATTTTTTCAATCCAACATTTTTCATCGATATGTAATTACAAAAAAAGTAAGCGACTATCGAACACATATAAGACAGAAGCTTTCTGTAAAAGGGGAACGGAGGGTTACACTGTCGTCTTGTGAACACAAGAAAAAGGTAGCTACTCCCTCTAATGTAAAAAGGAGGTCGAGTCAATCCTGCCAAACAATTCTGTGAATAGATGCTCGAACATACTCATATTTTGTAAGGATTCGGATACGTGAAAGAAGCGAAGCCTAATGATTGGAAAATGAGCTTATAATCCACTTGTCCCCTTTCCAATTCTTAACTCTTCTACTCCTGGGATTCTTTCTTGGTTTAAACAAGTTTACCTCTTCAGTACTGCTTGAAGTTTTTAGCTGCTTTGAATAATTGTGTTTCATTATGTATTTACATACATCGATCTGGCAACATCATGATATCTTATATAAGTCAAAGTAGAGTTCATCCTTTGTACCCAGATATCAGCTTGCATAATCTCCACACTCTTCTCTTTAAAATTTCCTGAGGTACTTACGCCAATAAATTGTCTATCAATTAAACAATTCTTAGGTGAGCGACTTTTTCTCATGTTTTATTTTTGTAATATTTGATTCATTCATAAGGGTAAAAGGGTAAAATGGAGCTACCAGTGTAATGGCTCATATTTCCCAGAATCGTTTACGACGCCATCGATATGGTTCCAAGAGTGAAGTCAGATCGCTCCTAGAGCGAGTAAGAGCACTACACGAATAAAATCTTACGACGAACTCCTCAGTGATACGATGAAGATTGAACTGAAAACCCTTAAGAGTTTAAACATTCCACCGATACTTGAAATCGGCATTAATTTTGAGCCACTTCAGTTTCGACAAAGAAGCACCTTATTGATAATTAATTTGCATCTCGCGTAGATCCATGATGCTTAACGCCCGAAGTGTTCTCAAATGAAAAGAGTTTGTTGATCGAATCAAACTACTTGTACAGCGAGGAAAAATTCAGCTTGTATAAACCAACTTCTCAGATTCACACTAAACCTCGAACACATGCTTTTTTTGCCTTGGAACACGAAAGTATGGATCACAAATTCGACCTTTGCGAAGCATATTTACAACATACACCACTGTTTACATCTTAAGAAGATGGGGCAGAGTTCACACGTCAAGTGCCTTTATCTACGATGCGCCCCATTAAATAGCCGTAACCAGCCGGCAATGAAGCAAAATTAGTTGTAAATACTCCAGGTTTACTCATAGAGGAACGAATTAAGAATCTTCTTCGAATTCCACATATTACAAAACTACCAAGTGAGTCCGGCATGGTGGACTCGTGTTAGTCTCCCGTTCGAGCACGATTTAAATGAAATGCCCGACTAATTTTTCCTCGTTTCATTCCAATTGTTATTTATAACCTCCCTTAGGGAAGCGATTAAAACATTGTCATACGCTTTCGTCAGAGAAGCCACTGTATTGTATTTATAACAATAGAAGTTTTAATCAAATGTTTTTCCGGTTTCTCACGTATAAGGTACCCATAAAAACCATTTTTAGCTCTGCATTGAGATGAGCAATGCGGAAAAAAGTTGCAGGTTAATCAGTATATCACGGGCGAGCGTCTACAGTGCGTAATTATTACTGGTATTACTGTTTACGTTTTGGCTTCAAGATGAAATTAAAGCAAGAAACACTGTTCTATGCCATCCTCCTACTTCTTGCAATTTCTGCTAAAGGATATGAAGGTAAGACACATTTATAGGATAGATGATTACTTATTCCCCTGTTGATAGTACTCAGCTTTGCACTTACTGCACCACTGATATCTTCACACGTACAAAAACGACCAAATATGCGAGATAATTCTATAAAACCCAACAGAAACACTGGTCTTTGAGAATACTTGAGTTTTTGAGTGGAATTAAAGTCGAGATTAACAATGGTTCGGCCGTATTTTCCAAAATTTACTTGTAGGCCGAAATCAGGCAAAATCCACCAATCACTCGACAAGTTTCATCGATTTCCGTAACGATCTTACTGATATCTTAAATTCATTTGAATTTGAACCCTCTGGTAGTTTGCCATAGCAATGGCCCAAGTTATGTACAGGCTCCTGCAATACTCAATTTTGATGCAAGTCAGCGACGGACGAGCTGAGGCTATAATGCCCGTAGTCTCTGCTATGTGACACAAAACTCTCGATCATTTAGTCAATATCGTCAATTTGAGTTGGTCCGAGGGATTATTTCATTCCCTTGATATTGTTACCGCAAATAATAGCCAAAAAATAAATACTGTTCTTCTATTTATTAGCTGATACGTTTCCGAGCCTTATCACAGAACAGAGGGGGAGGGGCATGGATGAAAACCAAACAAAACAAAACTAAACAATGAATATTATCAGCATAATCACTGTAGTATCATGAAAAATATCGAAGAATTTTGATGTTTAACAGTAATCCGGCACCTGCCTCACCTCTAACAGTCAATTTTCTTATGTTAGCTCTAATTGATATCAGCCTCATTCTTTTCTTTTTAAATTGTCGAACAAGTACAGCTGCTTTGCCCCCACTTTACATTTCTCCCCCCCCCACTTTACATTTCTCCCCCCCACTTTACATTTCTCCCTCCCACTTTACAATTCTCCCCCCCACTTTACATTTCCCCCCCTACTTTACATTTCCCACCCCCTTCCCCACCTCTCCTAAGAAAAAAAGAGTTGCTAGTTGATATACCTGCCTTTCAGGAGTCAAAAACTCTTCTTTTTTAAATGTTTGATCAGAGTAGTGAATTTATCATTTTTCCTGTTCAGAAACAAAAATAAACGCATTTTTATAGACACCCACGGTGTACGTCTGGAGTAAAAGTGTTTTGTTCGACCCCGGAAAATCTCTTCATTGACCTTGAAAACCATCCCTTTTCTCCTCTATTTCAATTTACAGGTTCTCTTGATAGGTGCTTTATTTCTATGGCTCAATGTGTGAGCTTCACTCTTCATCTGCAAAAACGAAATACTCAGAGTTCTTTGGGGGAATTACTGTTCTGTGTCTACGTTGATGAATTATTCTTTGTCATGTACTAAAAGTTAATTAACACAGCAAAATAAAATCAAGCTAGAATTTTTGGCTGTGCGTATAACTCAAAGTTTTAGCTCCTTGATGACGCAACTTATCTTACTTCTATCATATTTCTTGGTTTGGTAAATTCAGCTGAACTACGAATGATTGACAGAAATTTTGTTAATGCGCTGAAGCTAGATGAACAGGAGCGCTAAATCAAAAACTTCTTTGTTTTGAGCAAAAGAGGGTCAGTGCAATTTCAGAGGTTTCGCTAATCGCAACACATGGCGTACAGTCATTTCATACGTAAATAGCTGGCCTAAGAGATGTTTCATTCGCTTTGATTGATAACGCTTTGATTGGTTACTCTTATATAACGCATTGGTGAAAGATTTAGACCACTGCTAAAGTGGTCTGTATTCCGCTTGTCAATGTCTGTTTGATGAAGGATGATGCTAGCTACTTAAGCTGAGCAAGAATTTTGTTTTAAATGAAAGGTATTTTGTCTTCCAGATGTTAATGAGTGTCTGGACCAGAATGGAAACTGTCAAGATATATGTGTGAATACTAATGGAAGTTACCACTGCGCCTGCTCAGATCCAGAGTTCAGCGTTGCACCAGACAAGCGACATTGTATCGGTAAGTGCAACAAATCCCGTCGATAATACGTTTGAAAGGCTGAAAGGAATCCCCCGTATAATGTACATGAATGTTCATTTTGATTTTGACGGTGACTTCCACTAAGGTTTTTGAAACGTTAGTCAGAACTGCTAACCTCTTCTAGCCGACATTCAGTCTTCCAATCATAATTTTTTTGCCACACAAATGGTCTTTTTTGCTTTTTTATTACCTTAATTTTGCAGCCAAATTTTGGCTATAAAGGTTCCCAGCTTTTTTTTTTACGTTACTCGTACCCTTTTCTTCGTTCCATTGAGCTCTGCAGAGTCTTGAAATGAAATCTGGTCCGGCTTTATTTCAACAGCCGAGGGAGTGGAAGTAGACTGTGGCCAGGACGAGATGACTATCACCCTGCCCAAGTCCCTCCTCTTAGGTCTTGACCGTGAGCATCTGAGACTAATAGATGCGAAATGCACAGCCACTGAAAACAAGACTCACTTTTTCCTTCAAACCAAAACCGGAGAATGTGGTACAATTCTGAAGCATACCAAGGATCACGCCATATACAGCAACATGGTTTCGGAAATCCCCATAAAAGAGAAGCAGATCGTGACCCGCGTGCGCGATGCTATGATCCCCTTCCACTGCTACTACTCCAAGTGGGGTGTGGTGTCCTCCATTGGAATCAGACCATCGAGCGAGAAGATTGTTTTGTCTTCAAAGGGATATGGAAAGTTCACTCTCAGACTGGATTTGTTCAGGAGTCCGCAGTAAGACAAATCTTTACAATAGTAATTGAACAAGCTATTTGTTGTTGGATTTGATTGGGCTATTTCTAATAATAGGAAAACCACGCTTTCAAAAGGAGGGCAAGCCAAAAACCTTTCTTGGAAAAATGCGTAGCTAAAAAACTGATATTTTAAAGGTAGAGGCTTTGTAATAACCCTTGTTTTGAAGAGGGAGACCTTAAGCATTTTTAACAAGACGCTGATGCAATGTTCCATCGATCTTAACAATTATAATCCCGGTTGCCATCGCTCTGTATCTTCGAGGAAAATTCGAATGCTGAGACAATGAAAAATATTCTTGCCAGAAATAGAAAAAGTGATATATCAATTTAGAACTTTTTGATTTACTCCGTGTCGCATTTTCAACATTTGAGACAATACAACCTTTTTGCGCTTTGAAGATGACCAAATGTATATCAAATGGCGAAAATGTAAGAATGATCAAGAGGATGATTCAAAAGATGGCTAAGAGAATCCTTTAAGATCAAAAAGGCTGATTCTTGTATCAGCCTGCTAAATTTTTGAATATATACTTTAAAACGATATTGTCATTACGTATCTTTCCAAAGTGTGAATATCGCTTTTTTAAAGAAAGAATTACTTGCTCTTCCTCGAAAGACGTGAACTTCAAGCACGAGATTTAATGGTGTTTCCACCTCTTGTTTCCATCAGATTCACTGCACCTTTCTCTCAAGATGATTTCCCTGTTGAGTTCAGAATCCGTGAACGAGTTTACTTTGAAGCGAGTGTCGACACTATTGATTCAAAACTGACAATTTTAGCCCTGGAATGCTATGCCACTCCCTCTCAGGACAGGAATTCCCAACCCAGATATGATATTATTAAAGACGGGTAAGTGGTTTTTCATAACATTTTTTCATGATGAATTCTACCAATCATGGCTATACGTTTAACATTCTTTTCTGACGGACCTAATAGAGGTTTTCAAGTTTTGCTTGAAAAAAAAAAAAAAATCCATCGCCGTTTGAAAGTTGACTGCAAGGACATTAATATTCTTCCTACCTTTTCTTCGATTAAACAATTATTGATTCATTGAAATCAATCGGAGCTCGTGTGCTTCTCCACAACTCAAGCTTTTATCTTAAGAGGCAATCACAACTACGATGGGCTTTAAAAGGCTGTCTCTCTTATTTCTACCCGGTCAATTTCGCGTCAAAAATAATTTTTCCTGAAATTCTGTCAACAGAAATACTTTACTTAGGAAAGAACTCAATTAGGTTTGCTTTGATTCGAAATAATTTTCTGACTGCGTTAGCAGCCATAGTTATTTCTCAGTCCGTGGGGACCGTGGCAACGTCTCGAAAATTGAAAATAGGCATATTTTGGAACATTGTAAAATATTTGATTGGCATAGTTAAGCCACCAAATTTGTATCAGATTCCTTAAAAACGTCTCTAGTTTTCCAAGAAAGCTAGAATTTGCCCTCTCAATATATCTGAAAAGGCGAATTTTAGCATATTCTGACCCCTATAAATCGCCATCGGCCGATGGTCGTAAATAACCTTGATTTAGACGTTAAGTTTTGGGTTTTGGGACCTGGTTGACAACTTTATCCTACACAGGCGTTTAAGTTTGGACCTTTATAGGCAAAAATATGCAAAAAACCCTGTACGTTTTGGATTTTTCAAAAGATATGACCGTTTGAATCAGCACATGTACGAGCACTCGCGATTTTATCATCTACACCAAAATCGAACAACTGGAACAGATTTCGTCATAAATACAACTTACCCGCTTTGCAGCCCGGCTGCATGGCTCACTTGAGTATTTTTGTAATAACAAAATTGCTGAAATTCATGACAACCTCAACAAATTGCTAGGTATTGCCTACGAAAAGTAGGCGGCATCCATCGTGGTATCAAAACAAATGGTTGGAATTATGGCCACATTTCGCAGTTAATTACCCAGTTAATATCGCTTCCGAGGTGAATTTTTTCAGAATCAGAATATGAAATCTCCATGTCTGGAAGCTGAGGGGGAAATGAAGGTTTTAGGCTTCTGAAGTGAAGAAATAGTCACTTAAATTTAGATCACGACGATCCCATCGTGTTCGTAGAGGCGAGAGGGGCGAAGTATCCCCAGGAGAAGTGAGTGGTATACTGGAATCTTATGGCCCCTAACGCAGTCAGAAAATGATTTCGAAACAAACCAAATCTACTTGAGTTCTTTCCTAAGTAAAGTATTTCTGTTGACAGAGTTTCAGGCAAAATTATTTTTGACGCGAAATTGACCGGGTGGAAATGAGACAGCCTCTTAAGTACCTTTCTTAATGAATGGAAAAAAAAATGCATAGTGTTGTTACAGTTGTAACAAAGGATCCAAAAATACGTTTACGAACTTTGGATCCGTATTTCTAAATTTGGATCACATAAAGCTAAGCTGTAACTTTCAGTTTTAGTTATAACTTTGGATCCGTAGTTAAAGCTCTGGATTCTCAGTTACAACTTTAATACTTATACCCACTGTTTTCGTTCATTGAGAATAACTGAGAATGGTACTTAGCGGCCACCATACAAAACTAAACCTCACAAGTTATTAGTAAATGTAGGAGAGAAGGTAACACGAGAGAGTTTTACCCGTAAACTGGTGATCATCAAACTTTATAACACCACGCATACTTTTTTTACTTTCTGCAGTTGTTCGGTCGACGACGATGACACACTACAATTCCATTCCAGCTTCAACAACAGGTCTCAGCGGTGGAGCCTTGAGGCCTTTCAATACGTCAGCAAACACCCGTATGTATTTTTCCATTGCCGGGTCCAAATCTGTAACGTTACGGATCCTACCTCAAGATGTGCACAAGGCTGCATAGAGAGAAGGCGAAGAAGCGCGAAGATCCTTCATGACAACCCGGATGACATATATGCTTTAGCCCAGGGTCCTCTTGCCCTGAACCGAGAGAAGAAAGAAGCAGAAGTCGACGACGCGGTTGCCTTGGATAAGAGCACGCTCAAAGTCAAGACAGGCGAGTATTTGAAGTAAATGCATTATAACATTTAGCCTTACTTGGAAAGAGGTAAAGATTTATCTGAACAGACGACCAAAATATGTTTTGAATCGAGACAAATAATTATTTGGTTGATGGTTATGGCTTGGGAGTTACAGTTGACTGACGCAGTTTGATCTCTTAGTTCAGAGAGGTCCTGAAAATGAGTGGTCGGTGAAAACGAAATGAGTGGAATTAATAAGAGTAACTCATTGTCAAGGACAACATTTCGTTGTTGGACCACTCTCACTTGAATGATTAAACAAACGACCAATCATTTAGCCAGTATCAGGTCTAAAACATCACAACTTTTCACAAGTGTATCTCATTAGTTTATGGTCCACCCCTAAAATGATGATATTACGCGATCAAACTAAGCTCAATTTTCCTAAATTTCCTTTATCAGGTTTCCACGTGCCAGTTTTAGTTTCGTTGGGTGTGCTCGTCATATTTTGCGTGGTGGGAATGATATGGCTGAAGGTCACTTCGAACAAAGAGAGAGTCGCAAAGCAGTTCATACCACTTTACGAGGACCTGCAGAAGTGATAACGTCACAGAGAAGTTTCTGACCACAATTACCGAGTGTTGAACCAATTCTAGTTAAAACGTGTGTCTCGTAGTTAACAATTGCAGGCATAGAAGTAAAGTTAAAAAGGAGAGGATTACTCTCGATGCCAAGTCGTTCTTATAATTTTTCAGAAAGATTCGTGTTGTTTTTACCAAATCAGTAGAATTTCAAACACTTTCAGTTCCGTAACCTGTTTATCGTTGATTTTATAATTCATCCAACAAGAATTGTGTTAGAAAATTAACAATTTTTTTGTTTTCTATAGAATTACTTTCGTGGAAATATCGTTATATCTTGGTACAATTAATTTTTTTCTGGAGATATTTTGCTTTTAATTATAGGATAACTAAACTAGTGAGCGCGCTCTGATCAGTGCAAAAACCAGTGCTCATTGAACTGGTTAACCCGTAGCTGCTTTATGAAAATAATAAATGCAGGACTTATAACTTACTTGTGATAACTATAAATCAGGCTTACAAAAGTAACGGCTAACACTTTAAGAAAAAAGACTACGGGAGAGGCAAATAAGACAATGCCAAGCATAAGCCAAGGAAAAGTGGTTTCTCCTAATAGCCACGAGTAGCCTGGACGATACTAACAATAAAGTAGTATTTGTTGGTTTGGTTGACAATTTTTGTCTTGCTCGGGAACAAATTGCAAGGGAAAACGGGTTACTAGGTACTTTTCCGTGCATTGCTCCATGAATCAAAGTAAGCACACTTTCACAAGTATAATTCCCCGTCAGTGTAGGAGTTATTCTGAACATGTAGTGAGCGTCCAGACCTTCTTTTGTAGCTCACAAAGGAGATTTTTGTTATTTACTTTCATGGTGGGATAGTGGCCGCCTCTTCATGAAAATGCAATTAATTTGGTTTGGTGGATTTGTTTGGGAGTTTTTCCTCCAATTTATATTTTGGCTTTAGCGACGCTTGATTTAGTGCAAGCAATAGTCCCATTCATATCAGCATAAAAATGGAAAGATAAAAGTGTTATCAGATCCACAAAAGCAAGACGGAATTTGCGTAGGGTCTTTTCTTTGTCCTTCCTTTTTTAGGTTTTGTTTTCCTTTTGTTTTTGTACTGTTTATAATTTGAATGGTAACTCACCCACTGTTCAAAAGAATTGTCACAAATCCATGAGAGGGGAAATATGTGATGATCACACACTAGATTGTTGTGGACTTTAATGAACGTTAGTGCATATCCCATACAGGTGGCAAAACGCTTTTTGTGTCCACTGATTGGTTAGAAGGAAGCCATTAGCATGTGTTATTCACCTCCGTGGAGCTCGAGAGACGAAATCGCATGTCCAGAGTTTAGTGAAGGTCTAATCACATTTTTTGTATGGTTATAGGAAATAGACCAAACATTTGTTTCTAATGTGGCACGGTATATCAAGCTTCAACTATCTTTAAAATTCCAACTAATGTTGCGCTGCGTTTACAGCATATGCCTATTGCTTTCCTTACAAAATCTGAAATAAGCATTTTTCGCTTTTTACTTTGCTACTGGCTGTACCTCCGGTTGGAGGCATTCCATCGTTTCAGACTCGTGCCATTTGCCGCGTCAAAAAGTTATGCTTTTACTTTTTCTCCCCGTCATGAATAATTTACCCTCTCTGAAATTTCTGAAACTCCATGGTAAGCAACCTCCGCATTCAGAATATTTAATAAAGAGAGGCCTTTTTTTACTGTTCTGCGTATTTGCTTTATTCTTCCCGTACGTTCTACGTGATTTTGTAATTAATGTCTTTGTACATAGATCATTCACTGTAACATGACACTTATATTCATAATACCATAATAATTAAAAGTAAAAGTAGGCAGCGACCGTCATCTAATTTAATCAAACGCGCGGTTACAATTTTTCCACATTCCCGCTAAATTACACATATTACAGCGACATGGAAAACAGTCTTATTCCAACAGCAGTATCTACATTTTAACAGTTCTCTTAGATTGCACAGTTACAACTACTTTTGAAGTTATCTGGGTATAAAGTAAATTTATTTGAGTCTTTACAAATCCCATTACATGGCAATGTATGGCTGTTAATGAAAGTTCATATATCGAGCTTGGACCCTTTTTCTACGCTTTTGAGCCTGTTTCAATTCATTCAAGCACGAGCAAAACCGAAAAAGGCAATTTAAACTATCAAAGTAGGTGGCAACAGTGCTGAGATATCTCGCTGTTATTTACGCGGAATCTAACAAAAGATTGGACTGTAGGAATTATACAGGATTTGATTCGTCAAAATGACTCTCAACTTCTTGGACAGTTCTTTCAGGAGACACAGTTGCTGTTGTTTTGCATCTCAAACATAGTGATATAAAGTATTGCCTGTATTCTCTATTACTGAGAAAATAAATCCACGGGTTTACAGTGGAATTGAACATGGACAGCGCCAATAAAACTTGTAGTCCAAAATATGTGATTCGGGAAAGGCCAGTTTCGATTAAAACGTAATGGATTTGACTAGGAAGCCAGCAAGCTGTTAGGACAGCGACTGTGATGGCACACATGCGTAGCAACAGTTTTTGCTGGTGCCGCGCGTGCAGTGTAATGCCAGATACTGACGGGCTATTCTTTATTCGATACCATATGTGGATAAACGAAGCCCAAGTGACCAGCGTCGGAAGGACATACGTTACTGTGATGTTAGTTAAAGCGAGCGCTCCTCGTCCCTTCTTCCCCAATTTACTTGAAACAGTTACACACATGTTGTTCTCAAACTTAACGAGAAAGAACTTGTAAGTTTGTAATAAAAAACTTAAAATTATGATACACAAGATATACAGTAAAAGTCTTTTGCGAGAAAAAAACACTTTGTACTTGAATGGTTTTATTACCGAACACCATCGTTCAAGTGCTAAAAGTAAGACGATTAAAATGGAAACTTTGCTAAGGAAAAACACTAGGACATTATTTCCTAAGAGGTAGCAGAAGAAATAACCCATTGGGCCAGCCAGTGATGGATGACGGATAATACGAAAAATTGGTGTCGCAAAAATAATGGCCCCTGTAAGTGTAAGAAAAACGAACATCTTATAACTTTTAATCCACAACATATAAAAAGCCCATCAATTCATTTAAGATACGAAAAAAAATAATCTATCGATGCTTACAGCTGCCTCCAAAATGGGAATAAATCTTTGATAGAAAGACGTTAAGTGACCTGTCAATGATTTATCCAAGCTGTTTCATATAACACTTTTATCTGCAGGCAGTTCATGGTAGGTAGTTCAAAAGAGAATAATATGTTAGGCCCATTTTTCTAGATAATTTGGATATATCAACAAAGTTGAAATGGTAAATTGGCCACCGTAATGATTACAAAAGCTGACGTTTCGAGCGTTAGCCCTTCGTCGGAGCGAATAGAGGAATTGTGGGTTGTGTGGCTTTTAAAGGCAG